GAGTCCCAAGGCAGAACCTGTGCCTGCATCCCCAGGGACACGGTGGACTTGGGACCCACATCCTTTTGGCCTCGCTCAGTTTTTGCAGCCATAGGGAGTGTGAGTGCAGTCTCCAGCCCAGTTCTGCAGCTAAGCCATGGGGAGAAGTAAGCGGCCACTCATTCTAGGCCACTCATACTAGGTTTATTCATGGGGTTCAGTGCTAAGCAGGTGCCTCTAACCCCTTGCAGCTCCCAAAAGGCACTTCTGAGGTCGGGGAGAGGCATGCTCATGGCCTAGCAGCTGCTTCTCCAGGTTGGCTCTGCTGCATCTTGATCACCTGCCTGGGGCAGAGGGTAGACTCAGGTCTCTAGGGAGCCCATCTGCCAATGAGTTTGGTGCCATGGCCTTTGACATCCAGATGCCAGGTGCAGGCCAGCTGAGCATCTCTGGGACAGCCTATGAGGCTGGCTGGCTGCTCCACGAGGTACCTACCCCAGCTTCACTGGGAGAAGAGCAGACTAACTCTCCTGGGCTCCAGCACAAGCTTCTCTCCTGGGCCCGGGCCCTTGCTCTGCAGGTGGCACAGCAGGAACAATTGGTTGGGGAAGGGGACCATGCTTCCCAGGCTGGCACTCCAGAAGGCGGCTCAGTGCTGGGTGCCCAGCGCACACTTAGTAAACAGCCTGTGCCATCATAACACACTAGCTCCTCTCCGGATGCCTTCACCCCTCCACAGTCACCCTAAAGCACAGAGATGAGGCCACTGGAAGCTGAAGGGAGGGGAAAAGACTAGGGCACTTGGGTTATGACCCTGGCACAGGCATCCCCAAGGAAGCTAGAATGGGAGAAGAAACTGACAGAATGACCCACGGAGTCTGAAAATGAGCCCATGTGACACAGGGGTTAAGGGGTGATTCTTTGAACCCAGGAACTGTTACTTGTCCCTATCCCAGGCCTTGCCCTCCCTACTTGGAAATAAAATTAATCAAGTAGCTACTGTAGCAGATGTCCATCTCAGCTAACACTTGAGACATTCCAGGATGTGCTACAGTGACAAACAGCTCTTGTCTTGGAGGTTTAAAGGGTACATGTTCAGTGCAGCTCAGCAGGGGGACTCTTCCCACTGAGCCCCCTCAGGGACCTAGGCTGGCAGAGACTCTATCTTTACCACGTGCATCTGCCATCACCGTGGTTGGCTGGAGCAATGCACTAGCCATTTCTCCTGCTTGGAAGTGATGCATGCCCCCTCTACTCACATTGCAGTAACCATTAGTCACATGGCCTCATCCCTCTTCTAACGGGGCAGAGCAGGGCGATGCTCCTCCAGGTGTCTCAAGGGAAATAGCAGAACCCAGGGCCATCCTCGAGAAAATCCAGCCCTACACAGGGCAGGGAATCCCATCATAGCACACCAGGGATTTTCTAGAATGCTGCCGAGTTTCCACCATGGCCCCGTTCTGCTGAGCTGGAGGGAGATTTAACCTCAGACATGCTTAGGGCTTTTCTGCCTGTTCCATGGATCTGGTAAGGTCTCAGGACCTTGCACGGTGTCAGGATGTCAGGGGGAGAGAGGCTCTCATGCCATTTGTTATGGCTGAAGTGCGTCGCCCAACACTCATGCACTGAAGCCCCAGCCCCCAGCACCTCCGCAGGGGACTGCATTTGGAGATTCGCCTTTTACAGAGGTGATTAAGGTGAAAAGAGGCCATTGGGGGGTCCTAATCTAATCTGACTGGTGTCCATATAAAGAGAGGAAATGCAGCCCCAGACAGACAGCAGGGACCCCACACACAGAAAGAAAAACCACTTGAGGAGGCAGCAAGGGGGCAGCTGACTCCAAATGCAGGAGAGGGGCCTCAGAAACCAACAGTGGACACCCTGATCTTGGAATTCCAGCCTCTAGAACTGTAAGAATATAAAGCCCTGTTGTTGAAGGCCCCCATCTGTAGCACTTTGTTATGGCAGCCCTGGCAAACCCACTTCATCACTGGCCATGTGTTCAACCCTCCGGTGCTCTGGGCAGGGGACGTGCAGGTCTCAGAGCTCCGCTGCTTCAGAGCCATGCTTGGGCTGGCACTGGGCTTGGCAGCAACTGAGGACCCTTCCTAAAGGTCTTCTTCCCTAGATTCTCAAGGGTGACACCTCTGAGGTGGGTGCTCCACTGATCCACAAACATCAGGGTACAGTTACTGAGGGAGGAAAAAACGGATACTGGGTGACAACCAGTCACCTGCTACCCGGTGCCACCAATGAGGAAACTGAGGGTTAAGAAGCAGCTGTGAAATTCTCAAGGTCCACAGCCGATGAGCAGCAGCAGCGGGAACGTGAGGCTGGACTGTGGCCACATGCAGTGAACTCTGTGAACTCTGTGACCATGTTAAGACTCCAGAAGCCCTGCATCCTGCCGCTCCTCTGCCTAATGCCTGCTCCCACCCAGACACCAGACAGGAAATGTGGTCTCAGCAAGGCTCTTCAGAAAGACTGAACATGTGACTAGCACACCACATTGGTGAGGATGTGCGGGTGGAAATGAAAGCCAGCATAGCCTCTTTGAATGGGTGTGTTGGTTCAGATTGGGTTCAACCGTAAGAGAAACATCAACAGTGGTTTGAACAAGCTAGCCACTCATCTCTCTCGCACGTTCCAAAAGTCATCTGAAGGTAGGGTGTCCGTGGCCTGGGCTCTCTTATCCTGTCGCACTGCAGTGAGAAACTTCCATTCCCCAGATTATCCTACGGTTCAAGACTCCGGCCGTTATAAGCACATCCCAGTGAGCAGGAAAGAAGGGCCCACCTCCTATCCCTACGGAAGTTGCAGGCATACATATCCATTGGCCAGAACACACCTGCAAAGAAGGCTGGAAAATGCAGTTCTTATTCTAAACAGCTGTGCATCCAGCTAAAAATCAGGGATTCTATTCCAATGGAAAAGAAAACAACACATATTGGACGACAACTATCAATCTCTGCAGAAGACTAATAAGAGTAATTAAAACTGGCCGGGCGCGGTGGCTCCCGCCTGTAATCCCAGCACTTTGGGAGGCCGAGGCGAGTGGATCACGAGGTCAAGAGATTGAGACCATCCTGGTCAACATGGTGAAACCCCGTCTGTACTAAAGAAAAATACAAAAAATTAGCTGGGCATAGTGGTGCGTGCCTGTAATCACAGCTACTCAGGAGGCTGAAGCAGGAGAATTGCTTGAACCCAGGAAGTGGAGATTGCAGTGAGCCAAGATCGCGCCATTGCACTCCAGCCTGGGTAACAAGAGCGAAACTCCGTCTCAAAAAAAAAAAAAAAAAGGGTAATTAAAATAAGAGTGTGTGCTTCAGCAATTCTACTTGCATGAGTTAGCAAAAGCAAATTTATAAGGATTGTTGATATTGCCTTGTTTGTTGTTGCAAAATCTTTCAGAAACAAAAGTCCACCCCAAGGGAACTGGTTTATAAATTGCCATATATCCATATGTATGCAGCTGCAGGAGTGAAGCCATCCTCCATTTGATATAGAATCACCTCCAAGACGCATTGGAGCAAGCTACGAAACATTAACATTACAGAAATAGGGATGACATACACACCCGTTGGTGTGAACGCAGGGTGGCTCTGGAAGGTTATGAAGACCCTGGGTGCTTCGCAGGGGCGGGGAACAGAGAAACTCAGTGCAACACAGGGAGATTTATCGTCCACCAAATACCCTCCTGCATGGCATGAACCTTTTTTTTTTTTTTTTTTTGCCATGTACATATATGATCTATTTTTAAAAAACAAACTTAAAAATAGAACAAAAATGGTCTTCTGTTGATGCCTCTCTGCTCTTTCACTGCACCCAGCAAACCTCAGCTGACTCTTTGCCGTCTTGGACCGCATGTAGATTTGATGGTCAAATCCCCACTGGCCCTCAACCCTCACTCAGCATGCCCTGTGAGCTTGCCTTCCCCAATTACCAGGCTTTTACATGAGCTGAGAGGCCACAACAAAGTGTGCCACTCAGGGGCACCCTGCAGTACCCATTGCAGCCCAGGAGTTCAGCTCACTGGCCATACCACCAGGGTAGTAGTACCCTGCCCACTACCAACCCTCTGGGTCCTGGATCCCAGCATGCCTGACATGTTGCCCCACAGACATGAGCTGTGTTGGAACTGGTACCCTCAGCACCCCATTCCCCACACCAAAAAAAGTCTAATCTTGGAGGCAGGCAACAGCCTGACCCTCAGGGCCCTCACAGCTGGGGCTGAGACCTCCCCAGGCTCCAAAGGAAGCCTGCAGTTGGCTGGGTCCTGGGTGGAACCCTCCTTCCAACACTGGGAATTACATAACTGGCAGCAACTCCCTTTCACTCCAGCTGCCAAAAAGCTCAAAGGCAAACTCAGGTACAAAGGTAGCGGCAGAGATACGTGGGGCTCTCTCCCCTACTCACACCTCATGATCCCAGTGCTTTGTTCTGATTTACTCACATTTTCAGCCAACCACACCCATCCTTATGATAAACATCATTCCGCGCATCCTGTCTGCTGACGGTCTGCTACACACCAAGCACTATTCTGGAGGCTAAAAATAAGAGCCATCCTTGTCATTCATTACGGTATGCCAGCCACTTGCACTTACTGTTTTCCAATCCTTACAAAGGCCCCTGCAGGACAGATAGTCTTCTCCCCATTTTACAGATGGCACAGTAAGTCCATTCTGAGATTTACCGGAGCTGAGCAGAGGGAAGCAGCTGCCTAAGGTAAGTGTGTGTCTCCGACACAGCAGAGGTGCTGGCTCGCAGAAACATAGTTCTTCTCTCTCTTCATGTCTGTCCCCACTAATCAGATGAGCCCAGGGGCAGGGGTGGCTGGGATCCTGTTTCTCTCCGCCTCCCCAGCAGCCAGCCCAGGGCTTGGTTACTGCGGACTGTTCCTTGGTTGAGCAAACAGAGGCCCCCTGAGCCTCCCAGCCCTTTACCCAGTCCTCAGGCTCCTAGCAGAAACCAGCCCCCAAACGGTTTTGGTATTCCTGCTAAGCCTCCACATCAACACCTTCTGTTCCTTTTCCTTTTTATTAAAAAATAGATCAAGAAAATATACACACTTCAGTCCATCCACCATGGTGGGCTTTGAGGAGGCCAAAGCACCACGGGGATTGGAAGGAGGCATTGGGAGAGCCAGCCCTGCCCTTGTGCCAAGGGTGCAGAGAAGGAGGGTGCCCTTGACCAGCCTTGCCAAGCATGGCCCTGGAAGGAAAGCCTGGGCCATGTGGCTGAGCAGGATGAGAGCAGGTGAGAAGGGGAGGAGGGTCCCCAGTGAGAGTGGAGATGGCAAAGGGGATCAGGAGCCCCAGGGAGGTGGGGGCCTCCAGACTCATGGTGGGAACAGAGCCGCACAGGGCTACCACCCACAGAAGGTCCGGCAACCCGGTCCTCCTCCCCCAGGGACTCTAGGCCCTCTGGCCTCCTCTCTGGCCTGTCCTCTGCAGGCCCCGACAGCCACTCTCAGGCATTGATGGCCTTCCAACGCTCACTGTCCGTGCTGTTGATGCTGCCAGTGTGGCAAGGCATGGAAGCGATGTCGTCCAGGTAGGCCACCCCGCCAGCAGAGTCAAACTGTGTGCTTGAGTAGCTGGCAGCTGAGGCCCCAGCAGCCCCTGCAGCCTCCAGGCCCTCCCGCCGGGCCACAGCGTAGGGCTGGGGTAGGTGTACATCCGGCTCCTCTGTCTCATCCACTTGGCATTTGTAGGAGAAGAGGATCTTGGGTTCCGAGCTGATGGGTGGGAGAGAGGGGCAAGGGAGCCTCGATGAATGACTCAGGAACAGACTTCCCTCCAAGCCGATGGGACCACCAGATAAGGAAGGAATTTGCCTGATACCCACCCCAAGACAGCCTGTCAGGTGGACCCCAGAGGTTTTGGAACCCTGCCCTCCTCCTGGCTGTGTGAGCTGGGACAGGGGGCCTCTGTGCCTGCTTCCTCATGGTGAAAGGGGCGCGTGGACCCCGTGTGGAGGATGGACATAAATCATAAGCCTTTGACAGCGCCTGCCCAGGCGCCCAGGAAACACTGGCTGTGGCCTCTGCTCCCACTCCTGTGACCCCTGCTGCTCATGTTACCACCCATTTCACCCTGGCCTGGTCCCTCGGCCCTCAGGGCAACTCTCCAAGGGGGACACACTACACCCAATTTACAAAAAAGGAGCCTGAGGCTTCGGAGAGAAATCATGTGAGCAGAAGCAAGATGGGGCCATGGAACAGTCTGGCCCACTCCCAGCTTCACTAAGGTGGGAGGCTGAACCCCTAACCCCAAGACCCAGCAGGTGAGAAAGGAGGGCAAAGTACCCACATTCCAACCACATCAGAGGCCTGGAGTAGAGCCCCCAATCCCATGTCTTCAGCATCCCATCTCATGGATGCTTCTGCAGATGCACATGTACACAGCAGTGTACCCACTCCCAGAGAATCCCACTGAATTGCCACCCCAAACTTCCTTCCTTCTCAATCTTCCCCCAGCAGGGGACAAACTCCATGAGGACAAGGATTTGCATCCACTGTGGGCCTTGCAACTTCTAGTTCTAGCAGTGTCTGGAACACAGTAGGTGCTCAATGAATGCTTGTGAATGAATGAGTTAATATATTATTAAATAAAAACCACTTTGACTGGCACAGTGGCTCATACCTGTAATCCCAGCACTGTGGGAGGCTGAGGCGGGCGGATTGCCTGAGCTCAGGAATTCGAGACCAGCCTGGGCAACCCGGTGAAACCCTCTCTACTAAAATACAAAAAATTAACTGGGTGTGGTGGCATGTACCTGAAGTCTCACCTACTTGGCAAGCTGAGGCAGAGGAATCACTTGAACCCAGGAGGAAGTTGCAGGGAGCTAAGATCACACCACTGCACTCCAGCCTAGGCAATAGAGTGAGACTCCGCACCCATGCCAAAAAAACCCAGCAATGCAGAACAACATGCATAGCCTAACCCCCTCTCTCTCTGTCTCTCTCTCTCTCTCGGAAAGACTGTCTGTGTGTACTGTATATGCAATGTGCATACATATGTATGCCATGTGTAGACATGGCACATATCTACATGTGTGTATATGCTGCACACATGTGTGCTCGTGTGTATGCATGCATGTGGGTGTGCACGTGCATGTTTGTGTGTATGTGTGTCTGTATGTGCATATGTTAATGTGTATGTGCATGTGTGCATGCCTGTGCATCTGTGTCTGTATGTGCACGTGTGCATGCACATGTGGGTGGTTGTGCGTATATCTGTTTGCATGTGCATATCTGTATATGTGTGCCCATGTGCATGTGTGTATTTTCTGCGCATGCACATTGTATGCATACACAGTCCCTCAGCATCAGTCCTTGCACCCGTGGGGGAAGAAGGCGAAGTTCCGCTGGCAGCCACGCGGGGGCGCTGGCGGCTACAGACTCACCCGAAGAAGCCCCGGAGGAAGGCCACATAGATAAGCGGAGCGAAGAAGCTGAAGTACAGGAAGGTTGTTGTGTCTACACAGCTGCAGAGAAGGCAGGTCAGCACGGGGCCTCCCAGTCCCACACTGTCCCCCTTAGCCGCCCCATTCCCTTCGTCCCCCCAGGGGTGGATGCTCTGCCTCCAACTCCCCATGCCCCCACCCAGTGGACTCTCTGTCCCCAACTTTCCCACATTCTCAGTAGGTCAACACTCTGCTCTCCACCTCCCCATGCCCCCAGCAGGTGGACGCCCTGACTCACACCTCCCCACGTACCCAGTGGTGGATGCCATGCCCTGCCCCTCACCCACCCCTCTCCTGTAATGGATAGACAACCTTGCCCTGCCCACCCCCCACTTCCCCATGCCCCAAGCGGGTAAGAGCCTGTCCCCTCCACATCTCCCCATGCCCCCAGTAGGTGGGCATCCTGCTGCCCACCTCCACATGCCCCCAGTGAGTGGACACTCTGCCACCCACCTCCCCATACCCTGCCGCCCCCACATACCAGAGCCGCCCCCACATACCAGAGCCCCTCGATGATGTCCAAGCACAGCAGCACACTCCCCAGCCCCTGTAGCAGGTTGAGCAGCGCCAGGATGCCCGCATACACGTAGAAGCTCCTCCGAGCTGGGGGCCGGACAGGGTGAATCATGAGGTTCCCAACCTGGCCAGACCAGGCTCTGCCTCCCGCACCTACCACCTTCAAGCCTGGTGTATCCTCCAGGGCCCCTCTAGGCCTCCCTCTCACCCAGGGCTCTCCCGCTCCCAGCCACAGTGGCCCCGCAGACCCCCTCCTGCTCCCGCCTGTCCCAGAGCTGCTGGCCAGCTGCTCACAAGGCAGGGAAATGCGCTCCTTCAGCGGGGTCTTGGGGAGGATGACCACCAGAGAGTAGACCTATGGAGACAGGCAGGGCTGAGAAGGTGCTGGGGGTGCCAGCCCAGATCCACAACCAGGAACTCAGGCATCCAATCCCCTGCCTGGCCCTGAGGCCCCAGCCACCCCAGCCTGAACCTCACCAGGAAGAAGAAGCAGGAGCTGACCAGCCAGAACTGGCGGCCCCCATGGCCATAGATGTTAAAGTCCTCAGCTGAGAGATGGGCATCAGGGTACAGGATCTCCAGGGTCCCCTGCAGGGGCAAGCAGGAAGGGATAAAGGGAGAGTATCTCAAGGCTCTTCCCTCCCAGGGGCTTTTCCCGATGCAAAGCCCCCTAAGCTTTCCACCACACCAAGTCCAGACCCTTGGCCTGACCCTCAAGTCACCTGCCCCAGCCTGCTCCCTGGCCACATCCTGCCCACCTGATTGCAGCATCTGGAGCTGGCCAGTCTTGGTATGAGTCACATGGGGCAGGGGGCAGAGATGGGCAAAGTGCAGTCCCTGCACCCAATCTAAGAAAGGGGCCTCTAGATGCATGCTTCTCAGGGGGGTCTGCAGACCTGCACTGTCCCTACCTGTGCTCCTTGTTAAAAGGTCAAGTCCTAAGCCTCCCACCCCGGCACCCTGGCCTACTGGATCCAAGTCTCCCAGGGACCCAAGAACATGCCTTGGTAACAAGCACCTCGTGTGATCTCTCAAGTGCAAAGTTTTAGAACTCTGACAGTGATAATGACTGGAAACCTGACCCAGGCCCAGAAGCAGTGGGTGCCTGATGCCCTGACTCCTGGAGTCTCCTGCCCACACCCACCCTCTTACCTGGGTGACGGAATAGGCCAGGGACAACACTGTGGTGATGGCCAGCACCCGCTTGATGCTGGACTTGCTCTCCAGGTGGCCTGGAAGAAATGTGCTGGTCAGTATGCAGGAGCCAGCCCGTGACCAGGCCAGGGTCAGCCCGTGGCCAAGAAAGGGCAAGGGAGAAAGCCCAAAAGCCCAGTGGTACACACACCGAAGGCCAGGCCCAGGATGATCACACTCAGCTCGATGGCCAGCAGGAAGAAGCGGGTGATCTCCCACAGGATCTGCATGCAGAGTGGGCAGAGCGTCAGCCCAGGCCAGCACTCCCAGCCCAGCCCAGGCCAGGCCTCCCCAGCCTCCCTCAGCAGGCCCAGCCGCACCTTATCAGCAACAGTTGCAGCGTCCGACGTGCTCACCGTCATGGACACCACAGCCCGGGCAATGCCTACCAGTGCCACCACGAACACCTGGTGGGCAAGGGAGTGGTGTGGCAGTCAAGGAACAAGAGCCTCTGCATTGGCAGGGGTGGCAAGCCTACCCCCACATCTACAGGACCCTTTGATTGCCAAGATTGGAAAGGAGGAAGGGGCAAGTCAGGGTGGGACTCGGAGGCAGGGAGCGGGCTCCAGGAAGCAAGGCTGTCAGACTTGCAGACCATCAGCTCTGGGTGGCCTCTGGCCTGGCCCTCCCCTCTTGGGGCCCCAGTTTCCTAGCTAGCACCACAGCCTTGGGCTGATTAGTAGGTGAGCACGGTGGAGCCAGATGGGCGAGGTTCACATCACAAGCAGCAGGCTGCTGCTTCCTGGCTCTGTACCTTAGCTTTCTCATCTATAAAATGGGGGCAGAAACAAAACCTACTGAGTTTGATTGTTGGGTCAAATGGATTAACAGATGCAGCAGAAGCCTGCCTGGCACCCAGGAAGGACCAAGTATACATTTGCTGTTATTATCCTATTCCTGGTTTTCATTCTGAGGCATGCGGGACTGGACAAAAGGTCAATGAGGAGAGGTGCTGAGACCTCCAAGGAAGCCACTGGCCTGGCAGGTTTCACAAAAGTGCCTGCTCAGCATCTGTGGCTCTTATCGGCCTGGTATCCCTCCCCTTCCTCTCCCTCCTCACGCCCACTTCGGTGGTTCCAGGTGAGTCTGAGCCCACTGCCCCTGGCTTTAGGGACGGGCCCGGGATGCAGCAGCACTGGCCAGTGGTGTGTGCCATTCCCCTGGCCTCAGGGCTGGTTCAGGGAAGGGCATGGGACCCAAGGGAGCCTCATGAGAGACCCAGGATGTCGGGTGCAACCGCCAGGAAAGACAGGCAGAGGGCATGGAAGCCTGGCACCCTGCATGCCACCCTGCTGCCACAAGGGGAGATGGCGAGAGAGCAGGGCCATTGGGGAGTTCCCAGGCTCAGTGGGAGATGGAGATGGTGCTCCAGCAGCACTGCTGTACCCCAAAATCCTACTGTGGCTGAGGTCCAGGAACTTCCCAGTTTCTCAGTCAGAAACTGGCTTCTATGAGTCTCAGTTGGGTTTTTTGACACATGCCCAGATCCATATATACTCTGTCTTTTGTGCCATGAGAAATTGTGTCAGCAGGGCAGGCAGCAAAAGCAACAAACTGCAAAACGCCTACTGTCTGCCAAGCTCCCACTGGGCTGCAGCTATGCAGGCGGCCTCACAGGTGCTCACATGAACATCATAGCCCTCACGTGAAGCCCATACCTAGCCAGCCCATACCTGAAGCCCGCACCTGGATAGCCCACAGCTGAAGCCTCCACCTGCAGCCCACACCTACACAGCCCAGACCGCCGGTACATGGAACCTGCACCCAGACCATCCACACCTGGAGCCTATACCTGGACAGCCCACATTTGGAGCTACCTTCTCGACCACAGCCCAGACACCTCTCCCCAGGCAACATGTGCCAGGACCACCAAGTGGTGAGAATGCAGGCTCTCCCAGCAAGTAAGACGTCTTCTCCAAAGAGGTTTCACAGAACGGACACGTGAGGGACGAATAGATGGAGGATACGGTGGGCATTTTTCCCCACCCAGCATCCATTCCCCTTCCCTCTAGTACCAGCTCCCCAATTCTGTTGTAGGGACCACCTCCCTCAGTTCATATGGTCCGGCTGAGCTGATGCTGCCCTCCCAGCTTCACAGTGCCCCTCTCCTTGTTCTAGCCACAGAGCTTGGCTCAGGGATGAGCATCCTAGGTGGGCCAGTCAGAGGAAATCCCGAGTCTACACTATCAGAAAACAAGCACTGTCTACCTGAGTTGTAGAGGCAGGATGTCAGCTCAAAGCTGCTCTTGGCCATCTTTGACACCATATGGGGAGAACTCATACAAGTTAAGTCCCAAAGAGAGCCGAGATGCAGAAACAGATCCTAATGACATCATTTAACTGCCTGGATCCAGTCATATCTGAAGCTCATCTTCATTACAGAAGCAGTTAATTCTCTTTTTGTTTAAGCCAGTTGGAGTTGGCTTTTCTGTCAACTGCAGTAAACTCACCAGGATGTAGAAGGTGATAAAAATGGGGCTGGAGGTGATGCGGATCTTGGCCCGAGCAGATGGAAGCTTCCAGAGCAGGAAGATGAGGAAGAGCACATTGGGGATGAGCAGCATGAGGTCCCAGTACCGGACCCTGGCAGACAGGCACAGGAACTGGTTTACTAGTAAGGCCATATGTGCACCCCCATCTCCAGCACACAATCTGGCCCACCCTCACCACCCCACAACACACCAGGAAGAGCCACTGACACTCAGCAAGCCTGCCCGGTGTTGTGACTGCCCCACCTGGAGGTGCCAATGTCTTCGTAGAGCAGTAGCAGGCAGCGATGAGGTACACTGATGTTTGGTGCCAGGGGTGGGGGCAGCGCTGTGCTCCCATTGGCCCAAGTTGCCTCCTCCAGGGTGTCCATCCCGCCAGCAGCCAGCCCTGGGGGAGTGAGAGACGCTGGGTGAGCAGAGCAGGGGCTGTGTGGCCTGGGTCACTGTCCTCCTTCCTCTGGACCTGGGACTCCCAGGTCAAAATCGGGGGGGCTACACAGAGCACCCCTATAAACCACCATCCCCACCCACTGCAGCTCAGTGTGGAGCTCCACACAGGTCATGACCCAATCCCCCAGGCAGGGGCCCAGTCCCCCATTTCAGGCACTATTTCACCACCTGCAAACAATAACAAAGCTACTCCCTCAGCTGAGCATCTGCATGTGCAAAGCATAGCCCCTTGGCTCCTTTCAGTCCTGAGGGCCCATGAGAGCAGCGTGGGTGAGAGCACAGGCTCTGGGTTCATCGCCCAGCCCTGCCCCTTCCTTCCTGTCCTCTCCGCGCCTGTGTCCCCCCACGGAATGGGGGTAACAAGTGGGCTGTGGTGATGCCAACTGCCTCAAACAAGGCACACACAGGGGGAGTTCTTGGTATCGGTCAGCTGTGGTTCCGACCTGCCACACCATGCAGAACTCAGAGGCCACGGACTCATGTGAGGCCACAGCACTGCTGAGGGCCAGAGCTGGGCACCATGCCCTCCTCAGTTGCACTCTCTGGCCCTTGTCTCCCTCTGCTACCGCAGACACACATAGAGGGGACACTGAGCTGTTCCTAGGAGATGCACAGGAGGTCTCCAAGTGGAGACAGGCACAGGGGAAGAGGCTGTACCACAGAGGTGCAGGGCGAGCTGTGTCTGCAATAGCCAGGCTGCAGGGTGAAGCTGGGGACAGGGTGGGCCCAAAGGCCAGGGCCCACATGATGCTCTGAGCATGAGAGATTGAGTCTAGCCTGGAAGACAGGAGAGCTGGTGGTCTGGGGTCCTGGTAGCCACTCTGGGGTTGGGGGACTGAGGGTCTGGCCAGAAAACCAAGACTCCTGAGTTAGAGGACTCTCAGGGGACAGACAGCAACAGATACTTCTGCAGGGAATTCAGGGTGATCAAGGTATGGCCTGGGGCAAAGAACATAACAGGTGCCAACATTTAGAATGATTTGAACAGATTGGGCCAGATGCCCATGATGTGACTCTGCTTCACCAGGAATGCTCGTAAGGCTGTGGATGACAGCCCCAGGCTAGGAGCAGCCCCAACGCACAGGCATAAATGCTGGCAGGTTCCCATGGTGGACACCACACAGCGTAAAAAGAATGACCCGCTGCTACAGGCAACACGAGTGACTCTCAGAAGTGATGTGGTGTGAAGCCAGGCACAAGGGCCGACAGGCGTATGACCCGTGGAGAAATGCGGACGGGGCACCTTTGGGGAGATAAGGAGCATGGTAATTGCAGGAGGCCTGTCAGCTTCTGGGTGTCAGATCCAGGTGGTGGGTACGCAGGCGTGTTCACTATGTGGTAATTCATTAAGCCACACACTGATGACTCATAAGCCGTAGGTGCACTTCGGTAAATTTTAAAAAGTAAAAAAGACGTGTCCTGACGATACATCAAGGGCCCAAATCTCCCCATCAGCAAGGAGCAGCCCAGTGAGCTGAACACCTGCTAGCAAGGTCTACAGAAACACAACAGGAGCCCTGCCTGTGTTGCCGCTAATGCCATCCCTGAGCAACAGCAGCCCAAGACAGGGCTGGAGGGACTTAGGAGTTATTCCAATTGCTCGTCCAAGCTCTCAAACACCAGAACCACATCTGGATGAAAGGGAGGGAAGACTCCAAAGGGGGAGGGCCATGGCTTGCAGCTCAGGTTGCTCCAGTGGGCCACTCACTGGCTCTGGGATCATGTCCCCATCTAAATAAGGATGGCAGGGTGCAGTGACACACACCTGCAATCCCAACACTTTGGGAAGCTGAGGAAGGAGAAGTGCTTGAGCCTAGGAGTTCCAGACCAGCCTGAGTGACAGCGCAAGACCACATCTCTACAAAAAATACAAAAATTGGCCACGTGCAGTGGCTCATGCCTGTAATCCCAGCACTTGGGGAGGCCAAAGCAGGCGGATCACTTGAGGTCAGGAATTCGAGACCAGCCTAGCCAACATGGCAAAACCCCGTCTCTACTAAAACATATGAAAATTAGCCAGGCATGGTGGCGCATTCAAGGAGGATCTCTTGAACCTGGGAGGTGGAGGTTGCAGTGAGCTGAGATCGTGCCATTGCACTCCAGCCCGGGTGACAGGGCAAGACTCCATCTCAAAAAAAAAAAAAAAAAAAAAAAAGGCTGGGCGTAGTAGCTCACACCTGTAATCTCAGCACTTTGGGAGGCCAAAGTGGGTGGATCACCTGAGGTCGGGAGTTCAAGACCAGCCTGACCAACATGGAGAAACCCTGCCTCTACTAAAAATACAAAATTAGCCAGGCATGGTGGCTCATGCCTGTAATCCCAGCTACTCGGGAGCCTGAGGCAGGAGAATTGTTTGAACCCAGGAGGTAGAGGCAGTGGTGAGCCAAGATCACACCATTGCACTCCAGCCTGGGCAACAATAAAACTCTGTCCCAAAAAAAAAAAAAAAAATTAGCCAGGTATAGCGGTACACACTTGTAGTCCCAGCTACTAGGGAGGATGAGGTGAGAGGATGGCTTAAGCCCAGGAGTTCAAGGCTGCAGTGAGCTACGATTGTGCCACTGCACTCCAACCTGGTTGACAGAGTGGGACCCTGCCCCAAAAAAGAATGAATTAATTAATTAAACATAACTGAATGAGGCCATAGCTGCAATCTTCAGAGTGATGGGGTATGTTAAAGAGAACAAATGGCTGGCACATAGTAGATCCTAAGAAAGAAAATGGCTCTTTCCCTACTGTTGGGAGGCGAGCAAAGAAGCCTACCCTTCATTCACATATGCTTTCATTTGCTCGGCAGACCTTAACTAGCACCTGCTGGTTGCCAGGCACAAGTCTAGGTGGTTAGACATGGCAGGGAACAGGACAGACAAGACCCTGCCCTCACAGTGAAGGGAAGCCGACAACAAGCACAAAACCCATATTTAAAAAGCTAAGTTGGTGGAAGGGAGCAAACTTGGCAGGGTGCAGCGGCTCATGCCCATAATCCCAACACTTTGGGAGGCTGAGGTGGGAGGATTACTTGAGCCCAGGAGTTTGAGATGAGCCTGAGCAACACAGCAAGATGCTGTCTCTACAGAAAGTTTAAAAAAACTAGCCAGGTGTGGTGGTACACAGCTGTAATCCCAGCTATTTAGGGGGCTGAGGCTGAAGGATCACTCGAGCTCAACAGATCCAAGCTGCAGTAAGCTATGATCACACCACCGTACTCCAGGCTGGGCCAGAGTGAGACCCTGTCTCAAAAAAAAAAAAAAAGCAAGTTTCTGGAGATAAATACTAACAGAAGAAAACAGAGAGGTGGAGCAGATTGACAAGAAACACAGTTGAGACTGCTGGGGTCCCCCAATATCTACCCTTCCGTTTAATGATGGAACTGTAGAGTTCAGCTTGCACATGGCTTCCCAGGACAATGGGGACTTTTCCTAGCTTCCCTGCAACTGGTTGTGGCCATGTGGCTGAGTTTTATCCAACTGGACACAAGCAGAGTGAGATTTGCCAATTTCAGGTCATGCCCTTTTCCCTTCTGGGTGGCTGGAATATGGATACCACAGTGGGAGCAAGAGCAGCCTCCTTAGACCAGGAGGCAGAAACCCTGTATTGAGGGTAACAGAGCAATGAGAAAGGTGTCTGGGTCCCCAACACAATGAGGCCTCCAGGCACGTACTGGACAGCTTGCACAGAGGCTTTCATGCAGTGGATAAAAATAATCTATTTTATTATCTTAGCTTTTGTTTCAACAGCTAAGCCCCAATTCCAGTGAATATAAAGGTACTATTTGGACTGGGTGGTCAGACAAGGTGACATTTGAGCTGAGATCTCAATAAATAAGCAGGAGCCAGCCTTGGAAAGATCGAAATAAAGAACATTCCAGGGAGAGAAAGCAAATGCACAGGTCCAGAGGTAGAAGCAGGCTTGGCCTGTCCCGAGGGCAAAGAACAGGTCAGGGTAGCTGATACCAGGAAGGTTGGCAGGGCCAGGTCCCACATCCAATTTAACTTCAGTCTAAGTGCAACCAGAAGGGTGTTAGGACCAGTGCGGCGTCTGGTTTCTAGGGGAACAGGATGGCTGGGCTGCCAGTGAGAAGGGACTGAAGTAGAGGAAGTGCAGAGACAGGGAGGTCACAAGGAGCTCCGGCAGGAGAAGACAGAGGCTTACACTAGTGGCAGCAGCAGGGGTGAAACAGACGGATTTGGGAGACCTTTGGCAGGGTCAGCCAACAAGACCCACGGACAAATCAAACACAGGGAATGAGACAAGAGGCCAAAGAAGACTGATGGTGTAGTTTCGGGCCTGAGCCACTGGGCATTTTGCAACTTAGGCCAACACTATCCACCAGACACTGTCTCCTTCTTCCTCGCTTACAAGCTACTATTTTGTTTAGGATCCCTTTATAAAGCCTAGTGTTCAAGCAGGGGCCCCTCCCTAGCACCAGAAGCCGAGTCTCAATTAATTTCAGCCAGTGGTCTCTGGGGTGGAGCCAGCGTGGGGCACTGCTCTAGTTTGACATGGCAACTGCTAGGGAGCAGAGGACTGTGGTTTTTGTGTGTGCAGAGTCCGGGGCTGCCAAATCCCTGCAATGCATAGGACAGTCCACCAGATGAGTAACTGTCTGCCCCTACAGCTAGCATGCCCTGCAGAGTGACTCTGGTCAAAGTCAAGAAGGGTGGCCCTTCTGCTCCTGACCAGTGGTTGGCTGAGGCAAAGGCATGTGCTGCCTCATGGGGGGGATCTGTGTCTGTGTAGGGCAGTAGAAGGCATGGTCCAGAACAGTATCTTCCTGCAGCCTGGAGGGCTGGGCCACCACACGGAGCACGGGGGAGCTTACAGCTGGAAGCGGGTATGCAGCTCCCTTCTTGCGTATCTTCTGGTGGCATGATACCATAACTTGTAACTTTGAGTTGAGAGTATCAGTGACCCAATGAAGGCGTGAGATTCTACAGCCCTCTCCTCCCCACCCCTATTATTTTATTTATTAGTTTTTGAGACAGAGTCTCGCTCTGTTGCCTGGGCTGGAGTGCAGTGATGTGTTCTCTGCTCACTGCAACCTCTGCCTCCCAAGTTCAGCCTCCTGGGTTCAAACGATCCTCCCACCTCAGCCTCCCAAGTAGCTAGGATCACAACTGTGCACCACCACACCCAGCTAAGTTTTGAATTTTTAGCAGAGACAGGGTTTTGCCATGCTGGCCAGTCTGGTCTAGAACTCCTGACCTCAAGTGATCCTCCTGCCTCAGCCTCCCAAAGTGCTGAGATTACAGGTACAAGCCACCATGCCCGGCTATCCCCACCTCTATTATAAAGCCAAGCCAGGCAAAGCAAATGCCTGGTCCTAGCAGCCCAACGCCAGCTCTGACCCAGGACAGAATGTCATGCAGTCTCAGGACAGGCAGGGCCAGGGTGTAGGCCAGGCACCCAGCAGCCACCAGGAAGCTGAGAGGCCCACCGCGGCAGAGAAGGCAGTGGGGAAGAACAGGGGGCAGGGAGGAGGAGAGTGGGGGAAGTCAGGCCAAGTCCAGGGTATGGAGGGCAGGGTGGACTTCTCCTGGTTTTGCCTGCCCAGCATGCAGGCTCCTGCCAGTTGCTAAGAGCACCATTTTCCTGAGGGGGAATCTCAGCTCCTAGACTCTCTGGAATTTTAAAGATGTCTGACTCCACCTCTTCACAACACAGGGGATGCACCTATGATCTAAGCCTGGTCTGTCAGGATGTTCCATCACCCTGGCCAATTAAAATCTGCCTTGAGACTTTTGCTCTAAATTATTAGAATTATTAGAGCAAAAGTCTCAGGGCAGATTCTCACTGACAACTGAGGAAACACTCTCTGCTGAGCTCAGTAAGTCAGAGCTGTACCACCTAGACCTTACACTCACGGGCTCACCTGAGAGTACAGCTAACACAGAGGAGTACAGAGCTGAGACATGGATGGAGACAGATTTGATGAGCTCACTGGAGCCCCTGGATTCTGCCACACCTAAAGTCAGTCCTACCCCCTTGGACTTTTCAGTTGTAAAACCCAACAAATCCCCTTTTCTGCTTAGGCCAGTTTGAATCTGACTTCTCTAATTCATCACTGAAAAACCTCCAGCCAACACAGGTTATGGAGTCAGGCAGACGGGGCTGCACTGCTGGTTCTGCCACGTGCTTGCTGTGTGACCTGGGGTGAGTCACTCCCCCTGCAAGTATCATGGAGACAACAACACCTGCCTAAAAAGGTTGCCATAAGAATCAAGCAAAACCAGGAAGGTAAATGTCTACTGTCTACAAAAGTGACATGTGTACAAAGGTGATGGCTGCTTTTCTTTCTTTTTTGAGATGGAGTCTTGCTCTGTCACCAGGCTGGAGCACAGTGGCATGATCTCGGCTCACTGCAACCTCTGCCTCCCGGGTTCAAGCAATTCCCCTGCCTCGGCCTCCCAAGTAGCTGGGATTATAGGTACCTGCCACCATGCCCAGTGGAATTTTTTTTTTTTTTTTTTTTTTTTTGTATTTTTAGTAGAGACAGGCTTTGACCATGTTGTCCAGGCTGGTCTTCATCTCCTGACCTTGGGATCCACCTGCCTCGGCCTCCCAAAGTAGTGGGATTACAGACGGTAGCCAATGTGCCCAGACTAGTTGCTGCTTTTCTTACCAGAAGAGGGGTTGAAGGGCAAGGAAGGGAAAGGAATTTGTTCCCAGGCCCATGGACCCCTCTGGAAGCCCCCATTGCTGTGGGGTCTGAGGAGAGGCAGAGGAGGCGTTAGCTGCTCTCCCTGCCCCTACTTCCCTGACAACAACATAGCAACCTCTGTGCTCTGGCCTCCAACCCCGGGAGGGAGGTACTTATGCACTGTGCACGTGGAGCTAGGAAAGGCAGCCACTTGCCAGGCCTGCAATCCAGGCTGTCTGTCTCCAGAGCCCAGGCCCCCAGTCAACAACTTGCCAGGTGCCCCTCTCTGGGCCTCAGTTTCTCCACCTGTGGGTCAAGAGCACCAGGCTTGTTCTAGAGCTGTCTTCTCAGACCTGATGTGGGAACCACCCTGGTGTTGTTAACATGCAGATGCTGCTCCCAAGGGCAGAGGCAGGGGTGACAGTCTGTGTTTCCCATTGGCTCCCAGTTGGTGTCCCTGCTGCTGCTGCTTGGTTCAGCAACCACACTGGAGTTACGGGGATGCTGGCCATACCAGAATTGCCATGATGAATCAAAGCTTATGAAATAACTGAAGCACTGGCTTCTTTTTTGAAACAGAGTCTTGCTCTGTTGCCCAGGCTGGAGTGCAATGGCACAATCTCGGCTCACTGCAACCTTCACCTCCTGGGTTCGATCAATTCTCCTGCCTCAGCCTCCCAAGTAGCTGAGATTACAAGTGTGTGCCATCACATCCAGCTAATTTTTGTATTTTCAGTAGAGATGGGGTTTCGCCATGTTGGTCAGGCTAGTCTCGAACTCCTGACCTCAGATGATCCACCTGCCTCGGTCTCCCAAAGTGCTAGGATTACAGGTGTGAACCCCCCTGCCCGGCCAGCACTGACTTTTAATTAACAGGATGCACACTTCCTACGTGCAGACACGGTGCTCAGTGCTTTACATGTAGTGACACACATAACCATGGCATTGGCTTCTAGGGAGAGAGGACAATTACTGTCACCTTGTACAGAGGAGAGGAGAGGCAGAGAAGGGGTCAGTCCTCAGCCTTCTCTGCTTAGTTCTTAGACAGCTGCTCCCAAGTACTGACAAGGAAGTGGGAGGGGTTGGTTAGCTCGTGAAAGGGGCCTGAGGGCGGTGAGAAGGGGTGGAACCCCGGGTTGATTCTCGGAGGAGGAATTCCTGGGATGCAGAGCACCCTGGGCAACCCCGGGCCTCCCAGGACCAAGGAAACTGGGACAGCCTGTTTCTTCCACCTGGGAGGAGTCTCCCAGCCTCACAACATTCCAGGGCCTCTGCCTCCCCCACCTCCCACCCGACTGGGGGACAGGATGTTGGCTAGGCTCAGGTTGTGGTCACGCAATGCAGGGCCTGCTGAGAGCGCCAGGACAAGGGCTTCTCTCTCCTCTCTGCGACTCAGCTTACCCTGATCTCATCAGTGCAATAGGATTCACCAGACCCCACCCACTGCTACCGAATGGGAAACACTGGGGAGCGGGGCCCTCAATGCTTCCCACCCCAAATGGTTTCAAATCCTGGAGCAAGGACGTGGTAGGGAAGGTTCCACAGGGCAGAGGCCAAGTTACTTTGCTCTCCTGCATTGTCCTTCGGCCTTGGGGCTGGCAGATCCCTGTCCTAAGCCAGAGTCCCCAAGAGAAAGGGGAAGCCTGGGTCCAGTCTGCCCTGCCCCCTGCCCTGCCTCGTTGCCCTCCACCTGCTAGGCCGGTCCGTTCCTCAGGGCCTTGGTGCTGGCTCTTCTCCAGCTCTCTCCTGCCACCTCCTCTGAGAAGCCCTCCCTCCTCAGCTGTCTCCAGTGCCCGAGCAGGATCTGGGTGTTTAACTACTCTCTACCCCGGGAGTGCTCAGGACCTGGTCCCCTAGAAAACGGCCTGGCACGACAAGAGCCCTCAACAGGTTAGGATGGGAACAACTGAATCTCCAGCACCGCCAAGCCCCGCTGGGGACTGGACGACCCCGCAGCCCCTCCTCACTGCAGAGCAGTGAGGCAGTGGGGCAAAGCCAGCCCCCAACCGCCTTCCCCGAATCCAGGGGGAGCAGGGGCCTTGAGATGGCCTCGCGGGGCAGCAAGGCCCCGAACCCGAGGCAGGCTAGGCTCAGGAGCACCTCGACAGCTGCGGACGCCCACCGTGGGGCTGGGGCCCGTGTCGCCACTCCGCGCCCGACCGGGTCGTCGAGGCCCGGATCTCCGCCCCCACTGCCTCCAGCCCAGGCCGGCCCGACGCCGCTGCGCGCTGCCTGCTCCCAGGCCTCGCGTGTCCCCGCTCCCCGAGCGACTCCCGACTGCCCGGCCTTCCCTCCTAAACGCTGCCTCGGCCGTCCGAGCTGCGCCCGAGCGGGAAGGGGCCGCTCGCCGAGCAAGGAGGGGACGGCAGCGGGGTTTCCCGCCGGGGCGAGAGACGGGACTCCCCCACTAGCTGCGGCAAGAGACGGGGAAAAGGCCCTTCCTTACCTGAGATCCCGGGCCGCCCATCCGCCGCCGCCGGCTTTGCACCGACCCGGCGCAGGCCGCGGGACTCCGGCCTCCAGGGCCGGACCAGGCGGCCAGAGCCGGGGACCGTCGCGCAAGAAACGCGCGCGACCGGCTCCGCGGAATCGGCGCTAGGCAGGAAAGGCGAGGCGGGGTCAGATCCTGGGCCGCCGGGCTCGCAGACACTCTTCAGCCCTTCCCAACAGCGGCGACCAGGAGGGCACGACCGTCCTTTCCGTCCAGCCCAAACTGCGAAACGGCCACTGTCCCACAGCCCCTGAGTCCCTGCACCACTCGGGCCCGCCCTCTAATCTCCAGCAGCCTATAGGAATAAGTTATCAACGAAAAAAGTGAAAGAGACCAATCAGATTCCAAAGAGGCGGAGCAGCCCGCTGACCTCTTAAAGAGACAGCCAGGAGGCTGTGCGGAGACGAGACGCTGCTTCACCGAAGACAGAGGGCTGCATTTCTCACTCGGAAAGCGGGCGGAATCGAAGACTGAAAAGCTGAGGACGCGCCACCTCTTACTCTGTACGCCTTCCTGCTGGGCTGCCGTCAGTTGACTAGCTGGCGGCAGGTAAGCTCCACCTCCTGTCGGGCCTCGGCGGGATCGTCGGGGCGGAGCCTCCAGGGACCGCCCCATCGCGTGTGGGCGCCTTGGGCGCCCTGCAGGGGTGACCTGGAGTTAGCACCGGGGTAAGGCGGGCGGGGGACCCTCCCCGGCGCCACGCGCTCCCGCCGCCTCCCAGCGCGCTGCTCGACAGGGTGCCGCCAGGGCCTCAGGCACTCTTCTTTTTTTTTTTGAGACGGAGTTTCGCTTTTGTTACCCAGGCTGGAGTGCAATGGCGCGATCTCGGCTCACCGCAACCTCAGCCTCCTGGGCTCAGGCAATTCTCCTGCCTCAGCCTCCTAAGTAGCTGGGATTACAGGCACGCGCCACCACGCCCAGCTAGTTTTTTTGTGTGTGTTTTTAGTAGAGACGGAGTTTCACCATGTTGACCAGGTTGGTCTCGATCTCTCGACCTCGTGATCCACCCGCCTCGGCCTCCCAAAGTGCTGGGATTACAGGCTTGAGCCACTGCGCCCGGCCAGGCACTCTTCTTAATAACCCTGTAGGGCGGTCATTATAGTCTCGTTTTACAGCGCGACCTGAGGCTTGGAGAGGTCCAATAATTTGCCCAAAGCTTCGCAATGAGGAAGTGACACAGCCAGGACGCCTCTCCCCAACTCTAATTTCCATAATTCTTCAGGCCGCTTCCTCTGGAAAGCCCTCCCTGATTGCGCCTGTCTTACCCCCTGGCATTTATGCTGCATTCACCATACGCAAGCCATGCAGGTCTCTGTTTTTGTCCCTTGGTTAGTTCCTGCTCCTGTCTCCAAGCCTATCCCCCTGCCCGGCTGGCTCCTTGCCACATCACGTCCTCAAGAGGGTTTTGTGGGCACCCTCGCTGGAGCGGCTGTCCAGTCTCATTTCCTTCCGAACACCTTAACTCTCGCCTGTCTTCATTTACCTGCCTCCCTGTTCAGTCTCCCCACCTATTATAGAATCACAGCATCATGAGGACCAAGCCACGCCTGCCTATCCCCTGCAGCATCCCGAGGCTGACTTAGAGCCTGGTACAGACTGCAGGCACCCAGTTATTACAGGCACCCCAAGACTCACAGTCCATGACAGCACCACTGGGCTGGAATGAGATTGGGCCCCATTCTCCTCCTTGCTCCTGCCCTAAAAACACAGGGAAATTGGGGAAGAAACCACCTTGTGATCCTCTGGGACTTCATCTGGGACTTTCCCATCCTGGACTGCACCCAAATGTGCATAGCCTAAGTTTCAGTTTCTGTATTCACCAGAGAGGCTGGGCAATGCCGGCCTGTGTGACCACAAATGACCACAGCCACAATGGGCATGGGGAATCCAGTGGCTCCTCAAGTTCCAGCTGAGAAGTTATACACATCACTCCCACTCACATTCAATTGGCCATGCTTCTAGCCTCCAGAGGGCAGGAAACTCCCATCTTATCACGTGCCAGGAAAGAGAAGTAGTCATGGGACATGGGTGACCAGGCCTAATAACTACCCTCTGTTTTTCTTTTTCTGCCTTTTGAGACTCAGGGACTTCTGCATTTTCTTCTCTTGAGTTTTGGAGCTTATATCTAGGTTTCTGTGGGATTTTGTTGTATTTGTGAAATAACCAAGGGTATCTGTTTCACAACCAAGGGTATCTATTTCACCTCTCTCCCTTTAAGAACAGAGGCAATGGCTAATTCACTGCAGTGTCCACTGTACACCTGACAGAGCATGACATCTGCAACCTTCAATGAATAGTAGCTTAATAAACAGATCTGCCTCTCAGGTTCTTCATCGCCCTACAGCAGACTAAGGGGTGGCAATGGCTGACAGTAGGAGATGCTGCTACAGAACTGGGCTTCCTGATGGCCATGGGGATGATAGCAATCCCCAAATAACAGAGACCAGATGGGAGTGCTTAGGTGTGAGAAGCAGAGTGGGTGCAACTGTCATATGACCATCAAGGTTGAGCTCAATATATCACTGGGATAGACATCCTGCATAGTAAACAAAATACCTGCACTAGTTACTTGGTCTATGGGCTGAGAGTGATAGTCAAGTGAAAGCCTCTGAGACCCCATTATCCACCACCCAACCCAGCCAAGAGAGCACATAAATAACATCACACACCAGAGAAAATAGTGGAGATTGGTGCCACCCTTGAAGATCAAAGGCATGTGTGGGAGGGTATTCCCAACCATGTACCTATTTAATTCATCAGTCTGACCTGGAAAAAAATACAAACAGGCCAGCACAGTGGCTCACACCTGTAATCCCAGCACTTTGGGAGGCCCAGGTGTCCAGATCATGAGGTCAGGAGATCAAGACCATCCTGGCCAACATGGTGAAACCCCGTTTCTACTAAAAAATACATAAAATTCATGGGGCGTGGTGGTGCTCACCTGGAGTCCTAGCTACTTGGGAATCTGAGGCAGGGGAATCGCTTGAACCCAGGAGGCAGAGGGTGCAGTGAGCTGAGATTGTGCCACTGTACTCCAGCCTGGTGACAGGAGACTCCATCTCAAACAAACAAACAAACAAACAAACAAACAAAAACAGAATGGACTTGCAGATTCAACCAAGTGGTAACCCCGACCACAGGTGCCATGCAGGTGTCATTGTCATTGCTAGCACAGACAGATCAGCACAGCCTCCGCTTCTCTGGATGTAGCCTTCTATCTAATCAGCATGCTTTTTCATCCCTATCAGGGGCAATTTGCATTCACAGGAAGGGACAACAGTACACACATATGGTTTTGCCCCAGGCCAATGGTACCTTTCCCATCCTTTGTCATCATAGAGTCTGAAGGGGACTGGGCCATCTGGATGTCTTGCAGAACACTGCACTGGTTCACCGTGTCAATGACAACGTGCTAATCAGGATAGATGAGCAGGAGGTGACAAGTAAATGGAAAATTTGATGAGATATATGTGCTACAGCAGGCAGAAGATTAAACCCTATGAAGAACTGGGGGCTTGCTACCTCAGTGAGGTTTGTAGGGCTCTGGTGATCTGGGGCACACCAGAACATCCCCCCACCACCCCATCACAGGGGAGCAAGCACAATGCCTTCAAGCCTCTTTGGGTTCTGAAGGTCGCAGATTCCACACCTGCAAGTGCTGCTCTGACCCATATATCTCTGGGTCACATGACATCAAAGGCTGTCCCTGAGGCTATGGGACCCACAGACCCCATGATACTAGAGGCATACGTGGTGGGAAGACATGCTGTGTGAAGTTTATAGCAATCTCTGGTGGGGAAACCACAATGTAGACCCTCTAGGGTTCTGGAGCTAGACCAGGCCATCTATAGCAGAGAACTAGACACTATTCACAGAACAGCTCTGCCAGGCTACTGGACCCTGGTAGAGATGACTAGGGGACATCAAGTGACCATGAGGCCAGAGCTGCCTCTCGTGAACTGGGTTCTGTCAGGCCCACTAAGATGTAAATTCAGGTGGGCCAAGCAGCAGTCCACTGTGAGACTGTAAGCAATCCATTGTAGATCGACGTCACCTACCACTGCCACAGCAGCTCCTCCCCCATAGTTCACACCCACGCCAATGGGCAGTTCTTAGGGAGGGAAAAGGTGGTGCTTGATCACAGCTGAGGGAAGGCTCATTACATGGGTCAGATGTGGTACCTGGAGGTGCAGTGGTCGCATGGAGCCCTTGAGGATGAAAGCCGCAGGCTACAAATGGTGGAACCAGAGGAGGGAGGAGACTTGTCTTCGGTGACGTTCTGAAGCAGCTGCCTCAGCGCTGTTTGCCTACTGATGCGAGAAGAGCAAACCCCAGCATGATGTGTCATGGAGCAAGTCCTCACTTCCTGAGCCTGTCCCAGGCTGCCTGAGTGTCCTCAGGACATGGCTGCTGCCTTCCCTCAGAGCGAGCAAAGCTGCAGTCATTTTGTAACTGAATCCTCAAAGTGATATCCGATCATGTCTGTCCTATGCTGTTGGGAGATTACACAGGGGTGTGAATACCAGAAGGCAAGAGCCATCAGAGCCATGATAGAGGCTGCCTACTCACCTCACCCCCACCAGTGTTTAAACATGCCCAAGAACCTCTCATCTGAGAAAAGGCCACATCCCTCTCTAGCGCCTGTCCCAGCTCTCACAGTCCATTCCACACCTGGGAATGCCTCTCTGACCCATACATTTCTGCGTGACGTAAGCACTCCAGCCTCTAACTAGTAACCCACATTCACCCTTCTCACTTCACTGCATCCTACGCCTCAACATGCTCCAATGTGGGTGTTTGACTCCAGACATACCCGCCATCGCCAGGGCCACCAACAGCTCCTAGTCCTTACCAGATGACCTCTGGACAGGTTGGTGGACCCCATCCACCATCTTGACTGCTCTCTTCAGTGGCCTTTGGGAGGGCTCCCAAATAATCCCCAGCCCTGCTAGGACCTCCTCTCCTTGAGTGTGGGCTGGACCTCAGGGCTCACTTCTAGCTAAGAGAATATGGCAAAATATCACTTTCAAGACATGGTGTTTGTCTTGTATAGCCTCTGTCTCTTGTTCACTCGCTCTGAAAGAAACCAGCTGCCAGGTTGTAAGCTGCCCTGTGGAGAGACCCCCACCCAAGAGCCATTGGGAAGCTAAGTCTTCAGTCCAACAGCCTATGAAGATCTGAATCCTATCATGTGAGGAAGCTTGGAAGGGGATCCTCCTCAAGAGGAGCCTTCAGATGAGACAGCAGCCCTGGCCAGTACCAGCCTACAGCCTTG